ATGATGTTCATTTGCGACATTGCACGATATTTTCTGTTTGCATGAGACATGATACAGTAGCCTATATTTATAATAGTTGTAGACAAATATGGACCTTAAAAATCCTATGTTGTATTAGTGGAGGTTTCGAAGATGCATCTCCGATACCACCCTATTGTCTTATTTCAAAAATGCATCTCCGAAATATTCATTCGACTGCTCAAATATCAATATATTTGTTGAAAATACCCGGAAATACATCTCCAGAATAAAGTTTTGTGTCACTCATGCAAGAGTGCATCCGGAAATGCATTTCCGAAATCTGATAGACATTTTAGAGTTTTCATATGATGTTTTTCTACCCATAATGTGGGATAAAAAAATTCCTATGTTTTTTCTTGTTTGAGTCCAAACTAATCAAACTGACCTAATATCAATTTTATATAATTTAGAATTAAAATTCAAACCAAAGAAATATATTTTCATCTTTTTTTTTTTAATTTCACATTATATTAATTGTATTATATTAAAAAGTATACTGTATTCATCTATTTCTTAATTTTGACTTATTTGTTTTAATAGCATAAAAAAGTATATAGTATTTGAAAAAGTTATCTTTTTAAAAATAAATAAAAAAATTTATAATCAAAGGAATGTATTAAAACAGAGCACAAGGAGTGCCCTACCCTTATACAATAAAATTTACATTTATAAATGAACTAAACTAACTCGTTATTATGGATTTGATTTAACTTTGTTCTCATAAGAAAATAAATTAAAAAGTCAAACAAAATCAATTACATTTTGTAAGTTCAGTTTTTTTATTCATTATAAAATCGAATCAAAACAAATCAGTTACATACCATTTGGTAGGTTACACGCCAATATTTCTTTGTAAAAAAAGAAAACTATATTCAAATATGTGTCGGCAGAAACCAAAGACTTTATATCAACAACTGAGACGTTTCCATAGAAATTATTATCATGGTCATCATAAGGGTTAGATCATTTAGAATATATTCCACATGAATGCAAATTCACATTTCTTTGGTACAAAGTCAACTGTTTCTTTTTATAGACAGACACTTTATTTGACAGAAATATATATATAAAAGACACTGTTATTTCCTTTTGCTAAGACAGTGTTTGTGTTCTGACCTATTCTAGTTTCTACCTATAAAAACCCAATTAACAAGTGGTTAGAGACATTGCAATCACTATATCAATAACTAAATAACTAAAGTTACATTAGAATTAATAATTAGACAAAAGCCGTGTTTAATTTTATCATTCAAATGATTCCAAGAAAAATCAGTCATTTTGACTTTTCTCTATATAAATTGCATTACAAGAAACAAATACTAAAAAAAACACTCATGGATTAATATAAAGATGAACCTGAAAATTAGCAAAGAAATGCCTATGGCTGTGCACTTAAAACAGCTGCTGATGATGATGGTGGTCTTTTTTGCAAAAGCAGCTAGTCAGTTAATATCTATGCAAAACTGTGCAACAAAGTGTGGCTCTGTCATCATTCCCTTCCCATTTGGAACCACCAAGGATTGTTCCTTGGACAGCACCTTTCTCATCAATTGCAACAAAACATCTTCATCTTCAACCTCATCACAAGTACCTTCCTTGCCAGAGAGTAATCAAACTGTCCTAAACATCTCACTCAACGGTGAACTTCACGTTGCATGGCCTGTGGCTAGAGATTGCTACGCTGAAAATAGAAAACTTGTGAACCAAACATATTGGGGTATGGATATAAAACATTTCTCCATCTCGTCAACTCGAAACAAGTTGGTCGCAGTTGGCTGTGACACGATTGGAGCCCTCTCAGCATTTGATTATGGGGGAAACAACTACACCACAGGATGTGTGGCTTTGTGCAATAGGCTTAATGATATTGTAGCCAATGAATCTTGCTCCGGCACTGGTTGTTGCGAGATTTCAATACCCCAAGGTCATGTGTTAAATAAAGTAGCCTATACTTCTGGAAGTGTATTCAGCAATCATTCTGCAGTACATGACTTCAATCCCTGTGGTTATGCGTTTTTGGTTGAAAATGGAGCATACAAGTTTGAATCTTCAGACATCCTCAAGTTGGAGAAGAAGGAGTTTCCTGTTTTGTTGGACTGGGCGGTAGGGAATCAAACATGCCAGCAAGCTCAGAAGGAACTTTCCAGTTATGCATGTAAGGACAACAAAAGTACATGTTATGATGCAACTGAGAGATCTGGTTACCTTTGTAGATGCTTTCATGGATATTGGGGAAATCCTTACCTCATTCACGGTTGCGAAGGTACTATATATATTTCTTAGATCTTCATAATCAATAACAGTAACTATTGGTCTTAGAAAACTCCACTCTCCATTGTGAAAACAGAAATTGAAACTGACAAATCATCCTCTAGATATAAATGAATGCGTGGAGTCCAATGACTGTGTTGAGGGAGCAACATGCATCAATCTTCCTGGAAGCTATCATTGTTTATGTCCAGCGGAATATGAGGGAAACGGGAAGAAGAATGGAACAAAATGTAGCCCAAAATCCAGTACTAAAACAAGGAAAGAGATCATACTAATCATTGCATTGAGTGAGTAAAATACAATATATTATTGATTCATTCATAACATGACAATAGAAACCAATTCTATTATCAAAATGAAAAATGTCAAAATTTGAAATTCTATGGCAATCAACAATATTAATCCATGTTATAAGTTGTTACTATAAATTGAAACTCATTTACTCAAAGTAATCCTTCAAGACCAGAACAGTGGCGTTTTGAGATTTTGACCTATGTCTTTAACAACATAAATTAACTTGAAACATCAACAAGCTAGGCAGAGCAGAAAGAAAATGATCAAGTTTGCATTTGTTTATATCCAGGTGTCAGCATAAGTTTCGTAGCACTACTAGTGGGAAGCTTTTATGCGTATTTGGCATTGAAGAAAAGAAGGCTCATTAAACTTAAAGAACAATTTTTTCAACAAAATGGTGGCATGCTGTTGCAACAAAAGATAGTGAGGCGTGGGAAGTCAACTGAAACAGCTAAAATATTCACTGTCGAGGAGCTAAACGAAGCAACCAACAACTTCGACGAAAACAAGATCCTAGGCCAAGGTGGTCAGGGAACAGTTTATAAAGGAGTTTTACAAGATAAAAGAATTGTAGCAATAAAGAAATCAAAAATCAGTGACAGAAAGCAGATTGAGCCATTCATCAATGAAGTGATCGTGCTTTCCCAAATCAACCATCGAAATGTGGTAAGGCTCTTGGGTTGTTGTTTAGAGACAGAAGTTCCCTTGCTTGTTTATGAATTCATATCTAATGGTACTGTTTATGAGCATCTTCATGATCAAAACCAAAATTTAAAGCTAACATGGAAAACAAGATTGAGAATAGCCAAAGAAACTGCTGGAGTCTTGGCATACTTGCATTCTGCTGCATCTACGCCAATCATACATAGAGATGTGAAATCTTCAAATATACTCCTAGATCACAATCTCATTGCAAAGGTTTCTGACTTTGGAGCTTCTAGGATTGTTCCTCTTGACCATAGCCAGATAACCACTCTAGTACAGGGGACATTAGGGTATCTTGACCCAGAGTATTTCCACACAAGCCAATTGACAGACAAAAGTGACGTTTATAGCTTTGGGGTTGTCCTAGCAGAGCTTCTGACAGGAAAGAAGGCATTATCTTTTAGCAGGCCAGAGGGAGATAGAAACCTTGCAGTGTACTTTGTTTCTTCAATGAAAAAGGGTCGGGTACTTCATATTTTGGACAAAAGTTTAGATGGGTCTAATACTGAGCAACTAAAGAAAGTTGCCCATATTGCAGAAAGGTGCTTAAGGGTAAAGGGTGAGGAAAGACCCACCATGAAAGAAGTGGCAACGGAACTAGAGGGAATATTAGTTTTTGAAGAGCACCGTTGGGGAAGTGGCAATTTGTCTTCAGAAGAGACTGACCACTTGCTTAGAGAAGTGTCCTCGGTTATCAATAATGAAGATGGTGGCATTAATTCCTCTGACTCACATAGCATAAACCAAATTACGATGTCAACGATTGGTGGAAGATGATTAATTGATATTACTAATCTGACATATAAGCTTAGTTTTATTTAGTATTAAAAGTTCTTACAATTCAGAACTCTGGTGCTGTGAAAACCTAATACATGCACAAGACATCTGTTATGTGGTTTTATATCTTCATAAGAATTTATGACTGCTATAAGATATTCTTCTTTTATTAAGTAATCATCTCTTTATTAGGATTTATATGTGATGCACGCATGAACATGAGCCCAAGTAACAGTGCGAAACTTTTTACAATACAAGTACTTCCATTAATAAATAAAAAAACAGATTTACACCACTAGATTTCAACATAGGGATAATTAATAATTAGTCATAAAAGAAGACATGGTTTAACTTCTAGTATCTAGCTTTTGATCATGATTAATTAAATCTTTTCAGATAGTGTGTGTCTTCTGACTTATTCTACCTATACAATGTAATTAACATCTTTTTTTTATTAAAGGAAAAAAGAAATTACAATTGCTCAGATACATTGCAATCGCGATCATCAAAAACTAAAATCACATTATAATAAGTACTAGCAAAACTGTGTTTGATTTTGTCATTCCATTGCATACAAGAAGAATCAGTCATTTTGACTTCTCTCTTTTTAAATAGATCATTATAAGTAGAAGAAATAAATAGCAGCAACTCAGTTACTACCGCTACTAAACTGCCCAACAAAGTGTGGCTTTGTCACCATTCCCTTCCCATTTGGAATCATCGAGGATTGTTTCTTGGACAGCACCTTTCTCATCAATTGCAACAAAACATCTTCATCTTCAAACTCAACACACATACCTTCCTTGTTACATAGTAATCGAAGTGTCCTAAGCATCTCACTCGACGGTGAACTTCAAGTTGCATGGCCGGTAGCCAGAGATTGCTACACTGAAAATAGCAAACTTGTGAGCCTAGCATATCGGGATATCATCATGAAACATTTTTCTGTTTCGTCAACTCGAAACAAGTTCATCGAAGTTGGCTGTGACACAGTGGGAGAACTCTCAGTACATGATTATAAGGGAAACAACTACACTACAGCATGTGTAGCATTGTGTAACAGGCTTGATGATATCGTGGCAAATGAAGCTTGCTCGGGCACTGGTTGTTGCGAGATTTCAATACCCCAAGGGCATGTGTTAACTGAAGTAATCTATACTTCTGGAAGTATATTCAACAATCACTCAGCAGTACATAACTTCAATCCCTGTGGTTATGCTTTTTTGGTTGAAAATGGAGCCTACAACTTCAAATCCACAGACCTCCTCAAGTTGGAGAAGGAGTTTCCTGTGTTATTGGACTGGGCAGTTGGGAACCAAACATGCCAGCAAGCTCAGAAGGATCGTTCAAACTATGCTTGTAAGGACAAAAAAAGTACGTGTTATGATTCGACCAAGAGATCTGGTTACCTTTGCAGATGCTTTCAAGGATATTGGGGAAATCCTTACCTCATTCATGATTGCCAAGGTATTATATAATATTATAATATATACTATATATTAATGGAGCTGAAAAATAAAAGTGACTACATTATCTATATATAGTGCTATCGTCAACGGTTTTAATGAAATAGGGATGGGTTTAATATACAAAAATGACAATTTTGAGGTGTCAGAATGGAACCTATGTGTTATGTAGAAAGATAGAAACAATTATATGACTTTTAAATCAGTTAGCCAAAAACATGGATATCTTATACCATAAGCTCATATCTAAAGGCCGAGTCAAAATTACTTACAGTTCAATTTAGTTTTTGTATTTTGGCTTGATGTTTAATTAAGGAAACTTCCATATGTTTATGAGCAAAATATGTTTATTTTGGAGGATCAACTAGAGAAAGTTGGATTTGAATCGGATAATATTTTCGAGGACGAAAATTCCTAAAGTGGGGGAGAGTTGTAACAGCCCGATTTTTAATAACTGATTAATTATACTAGTTAGTTGGTTCGTATGGTTTAAGTAAATTATTGGAGTTAACTGATCTTAGTTCCTAATTAAATTTTAATGTTATTTTCATCCCAAATGTTTCAGCCGTTAACAAATATGGTCCCCACTGTAAAATGACTTAATAGAATGGTGATGTGACCTGTCATGTAAGATATGTTTAATTGACTTAATGTTCTGCGTAACAATTATATCAAAATTATATTAATAATCATACTTAATCAATTAATTATTCAATACCTAACCCACCCTAAAACAATCTTCTCCTTCCCTGCCCTCCATAATAGTTGCCTCAATATCATTGTGTACAAGTAGAAGCCACATTCTTTACAACAAAGTATTCTCATTGTCCTTAATTATTAGACCCGCTTTTTATATATATAGTCTTTTTTACGAGCTAATAAAATAAGAGGTAACTGTTGAAGTGTTTCAAAATTTGTTACAAGTTGATATGCCATAGCATTCCGATATACAATCTGTTACAATTCTATTACATAAGATACTTACCATAACTGGTCTAACTGATTAAGTTTAAACTACTACTAGTTTAGAGTTTGTAGCCAGGGATCTATATAAATAGCAAGAGGTATCTCTATGTGAAAAGCTAAGAATATAAGGAACGTGGATGGAAGACATATTCATGTAACTCTACATTTTGACAAGGAAAATTGGAGAGATCGAGAGATCGGAGAGAAGTGTGAAAAATAAAGTGTGAAAGAGCTTGGAGATTCTTGTCGCTGTCTGAATCATATATCTCTCGGTGTTATTCTTCTTCCTTCTTTCATCTTTAATTACTCTGCATTTGGTTGTTTAGTTTTTTAGTTTTGTTTGGTTTATTGTATTTTTTGTGTTGGTTTTTGTTGAAATACAAGAGACTAAGAGACATATGAGAACACTACAGAGACATTATTATATATAAATAGATTACAACTAATTACATGATATAGTCGATATGGGACTATTCTATATACAAATATTCTCAACACCATATATAATTACAAATATCAACACTCCCCCTCAAGCTTGAGCATATAAGTCAAATGCATCAAGCTTGTTACATATATAGTTAGTTCTGGGGCTTCGTAGGGATTTTGTAAACACATCTGCCAATTGATCATTAGAGTTGACAAAGCTTGTGACGATGTCGCCTGATTCAATCTTCTCTCTGACAAAGTGACAGTCTATCTCAATATGTTTGGTCCTCTCATGGAAGACTGGAGTTGAAGCAATGTGCAATGCAACTTGATTATCACAAATAAGTGTCATTGGTCTTTCTTCTTCAATTTGAAGTTCCTTGAGCAACTGTTTTAACCAAATAAGTTCACATGTTGCCATTGTCATGACCCTATACTCTGTCTCGGCGCTTGATCTTGCAACTACATTTTGCTTCTTACTTTTCCAGGATATAAGATTTCCTCCAACAAGTACACAATACCCAGAGGTGGATCGTCTATCAATGGGTGACCCTGCCCAATCAGCATCAGAGTATTCAATTATCTGGGTATGTCTTTTATCCTCATACACAAGACCTTTTTCCTGGAGCACATTTGATGTATCTCAAAATCCGGATAACAGCGTCCATGTGTTCCTGACAAGGGGAATTTAAGAACTGGCTTACCACACTAACTGCAAAAGAAATGTCCGGACGAGTGACTGAGATAATTCAACTTCCCAACCAATCTCCTATACCTTCCTGAGTCAGATAGAGGCTCCCCCTGATTGGGCAGTAGTTTAACACTTGGATCCATAGGATTATCGACTGGTTTAGCATTTAACAAACTTGTTTCTTCCAAAATATCCATAGCATATTTCCGCTGAGAAATCACCAAACCATCTTTAGATTGTGCTACTTCAATACCCAAGAAATAGCGGAGTTTACCAAGATCTTTTGTCTGAAATTGTTTCGAGAGATGTTGTTTCAACTGGAGTATTCCCTGCTGATCACTACCAGTTATGACAATGTCATCTACATACACAATAAGATAAATACACCCTTGGGGTGAGTGACGATAAAAAAATAGAATGATCAGCTTCACTGCGGATCATACCAAACTGTTGTACTACAATGCTGAATCTGTCAAACCAAGCTCTTGGAGATTGCTTAAGACCATAAAGAGACCTGTGTAGCCTACAAACCATATTCGATGACTCCCCTGAGCGACAAACCCATGTGGTTGCTCCATATATACTTCCTCTTCAAGATCACCGTGTAAGAATGCATTTTTGGTGTCAAGTTGATGAAGAGACTAATGTCGAATGGCTGCAATGACTAGAAGAAGTCTAACAGATGTCATCTTGGCTACAGGGGAAAAGTTATCACTATAATCCAACCCAAAAATTTGAGTGTATCCTTTGACTACCAAGCGAGCTTAAATCTATCAATCTTGTCATTTGGACCAACCTTCACTGTATAAACCCAACGACAACCTACTAAAGATTTCTCATGGGATAGAGGAACCAGTTCCCAGGTACCACTGCTTTGAAGAGCACACATTTCATCAATCGTTGCTTGCCTCCACTCAGGGTGAGATAATGCTTCACTTGGAGTTTTAGGATAGAAACAGAAGACAAAGAAGACAAGCAAGTATACTGCAAAGGAGAAAGACGGTGATAACATAAATCAATATAATGTGGAGAAGGATTTCGTATTTGACGTATACCTTTTCGAAGGGCAATCGGAAGATCAGACTCAGATTGTAGGATCGAATTCGGTGATGGCGAGAGCGTCGGAGGAGAGTCCGTAGTGACCTCAGGGACAGGTACGACTTCAGGGACAGATACGACTTCAGGAACAGGTACGACAGACTTTGGGTGACGACGCTGATATGTTTGAAGTGGGCGAGGAGTGGAGGGGTCAACCGTAGGGGTAACTATTGGGTCAGGTTCCCTAGAATGATGGGGGATAATGACAGATGGAACTTCCGAAAGAGGTGTGGGAATACTTTCCTGTAGAGGTTCCGTAGTTATTTGGCTGGATTCGAAATATGGAACAGACTCGAAGAAGGTAACATCGGCGGATACGAGGTATCATTGTAGAGTATGTGAGTAGCAACGATAACCTTTTTGGGATCGATGATAGCCAAGAAAGACACACTTTAGTGATCAAGCTGATAGTTTATCAAGACCAGTTTATCAAGACCAGGGGAGAGATTGTGTACAAAACACGTTGACCTGAAGACTCGAGGAGGAATTGGATGGAGTGGAGAGTTTGGAAACAGGATTGAATGGGGGATTTTATTATTAAGGACAGATGAGGGCATGCGATTTATGAGGTAACATGCCGTGAGCACCGCATCTCCCCAAAACCGGAGAGGAACATTACCATGGAGAAGTAGTGTCCGAGTGGTTTCTACGAGGTGCCGATTTTTGCGTTCAGCTACCCCGTTTTGTTGGGGTGTATGAGGGCAAGATGTTTGGTGCAAAATACCATTGGATGACATAAATGTTTGAAATTGTTGGGATAAATATTCACGTGCATTGTCACTTCTTAGGATACGAATAGATAAACCAAATTGGGTTCTTATTTCTCGATAAAATTGTTCAAAAATAGAAAACAATTCAGACTTGTTCTTCATTAAAAATAGCCATGTGCAACGTGAAAAATCATCAATAAAGGTTACAAAATACCTAGACTCAAAAGTAGACACGGTACGTGAGGGACCCCAAACATCGGAGTAAACTAAAGCAAAAGGGGACCCAGCCCGTTTATTGGCTCGATCAGAAAAGTGACTACGAGTATGTTTCCCTAACTGACAAAACTCACAATGTAAAGTGGATAATTTAGATAAACTGGACACCAACTTTTGTAGCTTAAGAAGACCTGGATGACCTAACTGCGCATGTATAATTAGTGGAGAATCTATGGTGGAGCATGTGGTAGATGACGTTGAGAAGTAGTAGAGACCTTGAGACTCACATCTGACGCCAATCGTCTGTCCCGAACTCCGATCCTGCAGAGTAACATTACTATTCGTAAAGGTGATAGAACAATTAAGGGAACGAGTTACACGACTGACTGACAGTAAATTAAATGGGCAATTAGGTACATAACGGACAGAAGTAACAGAGAGAGATGGTAAAATTTGAACAGTACCAATCCTTTGGGATCGGGTTTGAGAACCATTTGCGCCAGTTATAATAGATAAGAAACCAGAGGTAGGGAGGAAAAAAAAAGACTTTTATTACCAGTAACATGATCAGACGCACCAGAATCAAGGACCCAAGGACCAAGAGGAGATGATTGAGAGAAGCAAACAGATGAATTACCAGTGTGTGCAACCAAAGCAGTGGAACCAGAGATCTGATTAGTCTGACACCACCTGAGAAAATCCTCGTACCTTGGCGTAGGGTTCTGAATAGAAGGTGAAGTCTGCATAGTTTCTGAATTATCACTTTGAGTTGCATTTACCTGGCGTGGGGTTTGCCATATAGCTTCCAACAACGGTTGATAGTATGTTCAAGCCGGTTACAATGGTCACACTTGGGACGGGGTTTGGAGTTGGATGACCCTCCTCGAGGGCGACTCTGATTGTTGCCAAGAGATGCGAGGGCAGCAGTGTCACCTGGTGTTGGAGCAACAGTAGATGGAGGGAAACCGGACCAAACGCATGAGGTGTAGTCAAGCACAACAGTTGTTCACTAACTGCGTCATAGTTAGGTACAGTAGTACCTGATAAATTTTGGTTACGAACGGAGTCGAGTTCGGATGGTAGTCCTTTAAGTGCCATGACCATGAAAATTTTACTCTGTTGTTCGGCATGAGCTGTTGCATCTTTTGCATACGGCATGAGGGTTGCGTAACTTGCTTTCAAGGCATCACGCTTACTCAGATAGGTTTGCATATCCATATTTTCCATCTTCAGTGTGTCGAGTTTGAGGATGACACTGTATAGACAATGAACGTCGTTGAAGAAGACTTTCTTGGCCTTTTCCCAAACCTCATAGCAAGTGGAGAAGGCTTGATACTGCGCTTTGAGGTTAGGTGCTATGGAGAACCATAACACGGTAAGTAGATAGGCATCTATTTTCTTCCATTTAGCGAGTTTGTCGGAGGCAACATTAGTCAATTGTGTGCTTAGGTGATCTTCATATCCCTGACCACGAAACCACATATCGACAGCACGAGTCCATATGTTGTAGTTTGCTGATCCGGTTAGTTTTTCACGTGGGATAAACGGAACTTTAGTAAACGAGACAGGATCAGCGTCTCCCATAGCTTAATGACACAAAAAACAGAGTGGTCATTCTCACTCTTAACACACACCCTCACGCTCAGGACTGGACAACTGAAGCATGGAAATAAATGGTGGATGGCCCGATAGCGAAAACCTTAGAAGGTGACCCACCAGATCTTAAATGAGACTCTTGATACCATGTTGAAATACAAGAGACTAAGAGACATATGAATAAACCGTGTGTTTTAAAAAGCACTACGAAGACATTATTATATATAAATAGATTACAACTAATTACATGATATAGTCGATGTGGGACTATTCTATATACAAATATTCTCAACACTATACATATATTTACAAATATCAACAGTTTTGTTTGTTGTTTTCATTTGATTGCAGGTTAATGGCAATCAATAGCAATAACTATTGTTCTTAGAAAACTAAATTATTCATTGTGAAAACAGAACACAACTATAAAATTATCCTTTAGATATTAATGAATGCATGGATACCAATGACTGTGTTGAGGGAGCAACATGCATCAATACTCCAGGAAGCTACCATTGTTTATGTCCGGCAAGATATGAGGGGAACGGGAAGATGAATGGAACAAGATGCAGTCAAAAGTCAAATACCAAATCAAGGAAAGAGATCATATTGATCAATGCATTGAGTGAGTATAACACATTATATTCTCGATCCATTCATAACATGATAATGTCAAACCAATTTTATTATCACAATGAAAATTGTTAAAATTTGAAAGGTGTTTCTAAGGCTATCAACAATATTAATCCATGTTATAAATTGTTGCTATGAATTGCAACTCATTTCCCAAAGTATTCCTTCAAGACCAGAACAGTGGCATTTTGAGATTTTGACCGATGTCTTTAACAACATAAAATGACTTGAAACATTAACAAGCTAGGCAAAGCAGAAAAAAAATTATCATGCTTCCATTTGTTTGTGTCCAGGTGCCAGCATAAGCCTCGTAGCACTACTGGTTGGAAGCTTTTATGCATATTTGACATAGAAGAAAAGAAAGCTCATTAAACTCAAAGAACAATTTTTTCAACAAAACGGTGGCTTGCTGTTACAGCAACAACTAGTGATGCATGGAGGGTCAGATGAAACAACTAAAGTCTTCACTGTTGAGGAGCTAAATGAAGCAACCAACAACTTTGACGAAAGCAAGATCCTAGGCCAAGGTGGTCAGGGAACAGTTTACAAAGGAATTTTACAAGATAAAAGAATTGTAGCAATAAAGAAGTCCAAAATCAATGACCCAAACCAGATTGAGCCATTCATCAATGAAGTGATCGTGCTTTCCCAAATCAACCATCGAAATGTGGTAAGGCTCTTGGGTTGTTGTTTAGAGACAGAAGTTCCCTTGCTTGTTTATGAATTCATATCTAATGGTACTGTTTATGAGCATCTTCATGATCAAAACCAAATTTTAAAGCTAACATGGAAAATAAGATTGAGAATAGCCAAAGAAGCTGCTGGAGTCTTGGCATACTTGCATTCTGCTGCATCTACGCCAATCATACATAGAGATGTGAAATCTTCAAATATACTCCTAGATTGTTCCTCTTGATCATAGCCAGATAACCACTCTAGTACAGGGGATGTTAGGGTATCTTGACCCAGAATATTTCCACACAAGCCAGTTGACAGACAAAAGTGACGTCTATAGCTTTGGGGTTGTCCTAGCAGAGCTACTTACAGGAAAGAAGGCACTATCTTTTAGCAGGCCAGAGGTAGATAGAAACCTTGCAGTGTACTTTGTTGCTTCAATGAAAGAGAATCAATTACTTCATATTTTGGACAACAATATAGATGATGTGAATACCGAGCAACTTAAGAAAGTTGTCCATATTGCAGAAAGGTGTTTAAGGGTGAAGGGTGAGGAAAGACCCGCCATGAAAGAAGTGGCAATGGAACTATAAGGAATATTAGTTTTTGAAGAGCACCATTGGGAAAGTGGCAAATTGTCTTCAGACCAAGCAGCGTCATCGACTATCAATGTTGAAAACGGCGTTTACAAAAGTGGCACTATTTCTTCAGACTCATATAGCATAAACCAGATACCGATGTCATTGATTGGTGGAAGATGATTGGTTAATATTAATACTTATTATTAAATGTTTATCTGTCTTCATCAAGTGTATGTTGTATTTTTTTTCCTACTGTATTGAACATTGCATTGAAATCAGTATCCATGTAAATATAGATTTTCAAGTGAATTTGCTTTATGCTTTAGTAGATTCTCCAACTATGTTGCTAAATGAAATTTCATTCTCAAAACCACAATAATTAAACCCTAGATTAACATAAACTTTACACTAAAAATAAATTCACAGAGATTAAGATGCTACATACGCCATTTGCATTGTCTATGATTATCTTAAACAACAAAACATAGATTGAATTAAAGGCACGGAGAAAAGAGAACCACTGACCGTAACAAGCTTTCAGAAAGATGAAGATGATCATTCATTCATACGCATCTACTGAGAGAAGGAACGGAGCAGCAAATGCCAGCGTCACCAGCCGGCAGATTTGATCGACGGTAGGGTATGAAGAAGCGTCGACAATTGGGAACGAAGAAAAGAGAGGGAAAAAACTGTTGAGAGTAACTGAAAAGATATGCATTTATTATGATGAGTGCGGGTCCTCACAGCCAAAACGTTCACCGCAAATTTCAGCCGTTTGATTTATGCAACGGTTACGATAAACTCAGAGACTGAGGTTACGCTAAAATATTTTATGTATTTTCCTTCTTTTTTTTTTTCACAGCACTAATATAAAATGGTATCAGGGGAAAGATATTTTGTGTTTTATTTTAATTTTTAAGGTTGTTGTAATCTCTGGGAAGAAATAACAATCACAAGTTGGAGGCAGAAGCATGAATGTGGAAGAAGAGGTTGGACGCCTAAGGGAGGAAATCAAGAGGCTTGGCAAGCTCCAATCAGATGGTTCTTACACGGTAATGTAATACCTTTCTCTTTCTTTTCAATACTCATTCTCTTCCTTCAGATCTGTCTAGAGAATTCCAATTTTCTATATGTTTTATACTTCTCTTCTTTTTTGTGTTTGTGATCTGCATCTTGAGTTCAACCAGGTAGATCTCTCAATTTTACATCTAATAATCTATGAAACACAGACTCGGATATAAATTTGAAAAAATATATGTATTAAATTTAATTATATGGTTTGATGTCGGGTCAATTTCGACACCTAAAAATGTTCATGCTTTCGTTAGATCACTTTTTTTTAATATGTAATAATCACTAGAAATTCACTTCATTAAGTAGTTTCTTCTTTCAATGTGCAATGTTCATTAAGTAGTTTCTTCTTTCAATGTGCAATGTGTCTATTTTACTTGTGTTATCTAGGTACAAGTTGTAGTTTTCTTTAATCACCATGTGGAGTTGTTTTTGCTGATTAATGGTTTCTTGAGATGAATGAACAAAATGTGGGTTTGGATTGTGTTGTGAAGGTTACATTTGGAACGCTGTTTCATGATGATCAATGCGCAAATATATTCGAAGCACTTGTTGGGACACTAAGAGCAGCTAAAAAGAGAAAAGTATTAACATATGAAGGTGAATTGCTGTTGCAAGGAGTTCATGACAATGTGGAAATCACTCTTAATCCTACCCCTGCTGCTGCTGCCAACTGAAACACCCACTGGAACGCCATGTACCCAAAACTATAAAACAAGTGTGAAAGGGTAAAAAGAAAATCACGAGTGCTAGTTTTATGAGCATTGATTGATGCTACTTTCTTCTATTGAATGTTATTATGGTGTGAAGACTATGATCCTCCAGAATCTTATCATCAAGTTTTGTGTTACAAAATTGAAAGTAATAAATTTCGTAACCAACAGTTTTATCATTTGATCACAATATCTCCAATTAGAGAAATATTTATGAAATATAAACTTCTTAATGTTTCCTCCAAAATTCCTTCCAACGACTAAGGGTGTAAATAGGTCAGGCTGCTAGACAGAAGGCTATGATCTAACCTATTTAAAGCCCGGTTCGATCTGACTCGTTTGATTAAAAAATTGGACTCAAACTCTTAAAAAAATCAATTTAATAAAACCATCCATCTAAAATCATCCGCCACACTAAAAGATTGATATTTGATTCATGACATGCTAACAAAACACAATCTTTTTGTTATGCTTACGCACTAAAGAATCAAGCAATTCGATGTCTGAAGTTACACAAACATTCGGGCGAGAGCCATAGCTATATCGATTAAGCCAAGATTACAGAAGGCTGGATTTTACATGATTTCTTGGCTCAATCAAGCCAAGAAAAGATAAAACAATACAGTCAATAAGTTACATATGATCTACTTGAAAATCGGTGAGGGGATATGTTACGATGATCCATCAAGAATAAATGCTTGGAGAAGGTTCTGCGCTGCTTGAGTTTCATCAGGTGAACCGGATAAAACAATAGTCCTGTCACTTGTTCCAGGATGAGGCTCATGGATAACAACCTTAGCACCTGAAATCTGATAAGGACAAGAAAGTAAGTATAATTTGAAACGAACCAAGTATGTAGCAATTTGAAATCAAAGTTGCGGTCACAAATGCATGTTCGCAAGGCTAAAACGATGAGCTGATGAACACTACGAAAGAAATATACATCAGTACATTTTTCCATGTTGTATACCTGTCTCAGACGAGCCAGATTGCTACCATTTTCCCCGTATACAAGGTATAGAGTATCCTCAGGAACCACAATTTCTATAGTTGTATTAGTTACAATAGCAGATTTACTTCCACTGCAGACCAAACAAAAATAATAAGATGAAATCGACAGTTTGTGACATCACATTTTATATTTTAAACGTACTATTTCTTCCACCACTATCAGAAATCATGTTCGAATCGGCTACATTATCCCTCCAAAGAAGGATCTCAAATAAGTGCAAGTGTGCAATGACCCAAGAAAATGAATGTCAAATTAAACAGTAGTCGCAAGTCAGGTATAATATTAGGGAAGGGGAGTAGAATGCGTGGCTCAATATCACTTAATATTCTTCAGTTTCAAAAAGAAACTCACATTTGGCATAACAGATGAAATTTAAAAACACACAATGACTAGAATAATGTTGCAGAAGGTATTATGTATCAGAAAACATGATAGGAACCTACACAAAATAGTAAAACAGAAGTAATAAAAACTGTTTATTTTTACAAACCAGAGAGGAGATAGCCTCTGTTACAAAAAAAAAAAAAAAAATAACAAAGAACTTAAAAATAACAATGGATGGAAATGATCTCCATCCAGAAGTGATACCCTTACTGAGATAGGAATCATTTCTATACCAAGTATGCGATGTCTACTTCACACTTCTCATGATGCTTTCAATTCGGCTACCTTCCTCTAAATACCTCTTCTCTCCATTATTCCCGTATCCCTTCCTCCCATTTTGTTGCTATGTAGTCATTCTGTTATTTTCCTCGCTACGCAACATGATTTCTTTACCTCCCATTCACACACAAGCCTACATTCTTGGAGTTGAGCCCCTGCCCATTTCCTTACCCTATTTTACCTTTCCTACTACACATGCATAATGGGTCTATCAAAAGCAATTTCAGTATATGCCAGACATCTCATTCATTAAATCACACCATAAATAGCCCTGAATATTATCAAAATCTAAGACCTGTTTGGTTTTATAAATGTTTTATGTTTTCACTTTTAATTACAAAATTGCCACCTCATTTTCACACTGTTTTCTGTTTTCAAATATTTGTCCAGGAATAGTTGAAAATAGGAAATAAAGTGAAACAAGATGACAGTTTTATAATTAATAGTACAACAAAAAAGTTTTTGGAAACCAAACAAGCCCTTAGATTTTCGGATGCCAAGATAATTTTTAATTAGTTTCAACCTAAATAATAGATTTCCATCAAACAAGTCTACTTTGTTTTGCATATTAACAACCTGACAAGTTCTATGCCTCCTTTTCGAGATGTCAATCCCCAACTAGCTTCATTAATGCTTCTTGAATTGATCCCAGCTACTCCCTGCGATAGATTAATCAATCAATCAATAGTAATAATAACAGTAGCATTAATAACAACAATTTTGGGAAGAGGTATACCGATGGTGCCCATAAGCCTGGGGAAGAGGGACGATCATAAGTTCGACTAAGAGCAAAATGATCAATGCCCTGAGAAAAAGTGTGCCTAGTCCGACTATGAGAAATGCCTGCAGCTGATTGGCCTACAAGAGGAACATCTCTCAGTCTCCCATAAGGACTGGTATCAGCTTGTGAAGAGGATTGGCCTCCAAGAGGAAGATCTCTCAGTCTCTCATACGGACTGGTATCAGCTTGTAAAGAGGACTGGCCCCCAAGAGGAACATCTCTCAGTCTCCCATAGGGACTGGTATCAGCTAGTAAAGAGGACTGGCCTCCAAAAGGAACATCTCTCAGTCTCCCATAAGGACTGGTATCACCTTGTAAAGAGGATTGGCCTCCAAGAGGGACATCTCTCAGTCTTACATAGGGACTGATATCAGCTTGTAAAGAGGATTGGCCTCCAAGAGGAACATCTCTGAGTCTTACATAGGGACTGGTATCAGCTTGTAAAGAGGATTGGCCTACAAAAGGAATACTTTTCAGTCTTACATATGGACCGGTATCAGCTCGTAAAGAGGATTGACCTCCAAGAGGAATATCTCTTAGTCTTCCATAGGGACTAGTATCAGCTTGTACAGAGGAAAGGCTCCTTGTTCCAGCACTATTCTGTGTATCACCAAAAAGATTATCTCGCAGTCTACCAGTTGCATTATATAATGCATCTTGCACGTTTGAAAATTCACCTGATATCTGAGGAGAAAAAGAGTATAGATAGAATAAATAAGTGCAAGAACTATCATAATGACTTTAACAAAATATGGTGAACTACACATTAGATCTTTGTGTGCAACATAGAAATGTTATAGGAAAAAATATTAATCTCTATTAGATCATAAATAAGTGCACACTGCTCAGGGGTCTTTTTTCTTAATAATATAAGTTGCATTGAATCAAGAGAAAATAGTTACTAAAAAAAGACAATAATTATGCTAGTGTGTCAAGTGTTAGTTAGAAGCCTCACATTAGATGAAAAACTTATAAATGAGAGGACTTGTAGTGTTCAACTCGTATACCTAATGCCTTAAAGTTTTGAGTGAAGATGTGATGTCCTCCTCATTTGCTCTAGCTCAGTGTAATGATCCCCTATTTGTCATTAATAGCTATAGCCTTTTCAAAGACTTTATTGTCCTTAACACTCCATGAACCAGAGGCTGACAATGAGCAGGATGCCATTTCTTAAAGGTAGAAACAATAAATTTCGGTTTCATAATCACTATAAAGAGTGGTATGAGGTTTGAAAGGTAAAGTGGAGTGGTTGGAGAGGGTGATTAGAAAGCTATGTTGAAAGGGGCAGCAGGAGTGGTTGGAGATGTTGGATTAAGGATGTGGAAAGCCGATTTGTTGAAAGAGGCACCAATGCCTACTCCTTCTTTAAGAAGTGGAGGGTATGAGATGGGGTAGTGTCATTCAGCATCAAAAGTTTGCTAAAATGAAGTAGAATTATTATGATTTGTCTGTTTAGGAACCACACAGAATAGCAGGCCCAAGAAATGGAGGAGCAGCTAACAATATGGGAGAATCAGTATCTTCATGGCAACAAAAAGGTAAAGAATAAATAGAAATTAGCAAAGAAGGATCAGAATATGAAATGAACTGAACATGGGAATTGGAAAAACCAACATGGATGGCATTAAAGAGAAATGAGTGAAGATCTGAGTCTGACAAGAGATGCCGAATTTGTTGATAATGTTGGAGCGAGGGTAGGTTCAAATGATGGCTTCAACACTGATGAGTTGAGTGTCAATGAGATGGGAAAGAACGGCAGTGATAGAACGTTCAATGTTGCCAACTTGAAGTGATTGCGTGCTGTTGAGGATTTTGATGGCATTTGGGATGGATTGAGAGGTTGACAGATTAGGCCCACAATTTCACAGCCGCTTATGGTGCCGCATTAGTATTTTCAATCCACAATATTCGCTATTACAAAGCCTGATGGGTATGTATGTTTCAGAGAAAGGATTTACAATTTCGCATACCATAAAATGTTTAAATGCCTTTATAGTAAATAGTTTGGCAAAAAAAGTAAAGATGCATGACTAGCACAATAAACTTAGCATGATGGAGGATGAGAAATTTTTTATGGAGAGATTTGTTAGAATTGCTAGATACAAACACAAAATAACATTCACTAAAAAAATAAAATACACTCTTCAGCATGTTTAATGTAAAATAAAATAAAAGAAAGTGCCATCTCCAAATTCAAACCTGTACAACTTGATCATCATCTGACACACATTTAGAAACCTGATCGGTTCCGATTATTCGAATGCTAGCTCCTGTTGTCCTCCTCATTTCTGACACTACCGCTCCGCCTTTTCCTAACAAACAACCGACTTGGTTTGATGGGACTACAAGCTGTGCAGTCACAGATAAACCTGTATTCAATCCAGGATCTATCCCTTTCTCAATACCAGCCTCAACAGACCTGGAGAAAACAAGCACCGCCGCCTTTTGTGCTGGGGAATATCTTGACCCGGGACTCTGCAGTAAAAGATGAAGCCACCACCAAATAAAGATACACGTACAACAAACACGCAAGGGAATGAAAGGAATAAAACAGAAAGAATTAATTTAACAAACCTCTGAAGCCGTAATAGTAATTAATCGATCCTCACATTTAGCTACTGAAGGACTCACACTTATAGTGGCCCCTGTCTCACTTTGAAGGGCTTTAATTATGTTCCCACCCTTTCCTATGATACCTCCAACTCTATCATTGGAACAAATAATTTTGAAGTTGATTTCTTGCTGATGTGCTTTTGGTTCTAGGGATGAGACTCTATTAACTTCTGCCGACAAGGAATGAACTCCAGTGGCATAGCTGCTAGAGCAATTATGTAAAGTAGGGAGTGATGAGCCTCTTTGCAGAAGATGATCCTCATGCAGATCAGTTAATGTCTCGCATGGAGCTGCAATTAAAGTCTCACGTGGAGCTCCAATAAAAGTATCATGTGGAGCTGAATTTAAAGTCTCACGAGGAACTCCAACTAAAGCTTCATGAGGATTTTGTCCTGTCACCTTTGTTCTATCAGTATGATGACCATCTTGAAGACGATGAGAGACCATCTCTGTTCTATCAGCATGATGACCATCTTGAAGACGATGAGAGACCGCAACAAGTGCCTTCTTTAAGGATGACACGCTGCCTTCTATCTACCACAAAACCAAAAGATGTTTTCTAAGTATATATAAAGAGAATATTTTCAAGCATAAATAAAATGAATTAAATTTCCTTATTCATATATTTTTTGATTGGCCAGTGGGAAAAAGTTACCAATCCTAACCGACGAAATTAAGATTCTGCATTATATGCATCCAAAGTAGTCAAAGTGAAAAGTACCCAGTGTTGTCCATGGCGGAGAGCCAAAATCTCGCCGAACCAGACGCTTTGCGACACCATTATAGCGGATTATGGCGGAAAAACCCACAATATTGGCTGATATATACCATTGCGGCGAGCCCAAAAACCGCCACGTATATCCGCACGCCACAATTGCAGATATTTTATAACACTGAAAGTACCTTATATGCTTTATATATTTTCCTTATATGCCCTTATGACACTAGATCACCTGATTAGTCTCCTTTAAAACAATATATCACTAGCAAACAATGTCTTGCCATAGGTTCCAGTCAAACAATCAAGAATCGGGACAACATGTATTAAATAGGAAAATCTCAACTACAAGCTTCGCCATTAAGAAAAACTAATCTGACCCCAAAAGTGTTAACTCAGAAGTAAGACCTCTCTCTTTTTCAAAGAGAGTAAGTCTAGAGATCAGGAGCAATATTGTGAAGATCAAGAACTTGCTTAAATCAAAAGGGGATACCAAGATTGTAGCACGTAAGATTGCAAGTTCGCAACCAAGATCGTAACACGTAAGATCGCAACCAAGATAGTAAGATTCTACCCAATTAATCATGTGAGATCAAAAGAGGTAGGAAGATCATAACAAGGATTGTAAGGGCCTACTAAAATTGAAAACTATACTATTCTATACTAAATATCCTAACGCATACATCAATATTTTTATCAAGTATTTTAATATTATTGCTTATTTTTATAAATTTTATATTATTATTACTTAGCTATATATTATTGGGAACTCAGACTGCCGTGAAACAAAGGGTATTTCACATCACATTTATTTTTTGTTGGGCCAAGCTCATTTAAGAGAGTAAAGTAACCTTTGTACCAGAAAAGAAAGAATAAAGTAACCCTAATTATCGTGTTAACATTATATCCCTTGGTCCCTTACCAAGGAGCGCCATGTTCACTTTCTTCTCCTCCCTTCGCACGGCAAAGGAAAGTGGCAACACCCTTCTTTCAACTTCTTCATCTCTTCATCATCTAATTCTTTTTAATTGTCTGGTGTGTTGCAAAATAAATGTGGGAGACAGAAGAAATTGAACGAATCGCATTGTTGGTTGCATTGTTGCTTCCCGATTCGTTTTTACAATCTTGGCTGCACTTTCACAATTTCACAATCTTGGCTATGATTTGCATGATCTCACTACAATTTTGCTAAGAAAACGACTTTATGCATGATCTTGATCGCGGGGGACTAGTAAAATTATGAAATTGCACAATCATATGATCTAAGTCGCGATTTTGATAACCTTGATCAGGAGTCCAAGAATACTATGAAAAGTTTATCACAATTATGTCAGTAAAAAAGCAAAAAACTCGGAATAATAATACTCCTTAAAAAATATAATCCAAAGAATCCTTCCTCCATCTCACGTAATAACATGACATGCAATAAGCTTATAAGATTTAAAAAATCTTGGCCAATATGCCTAATAGGTCAAAATCACAAGAAACACGCTAAACCAGAGTAGTCAATTTCAGATAGCAGCGCGGAGCGGCTGGCCCCAGAAATAGGATAGCGGGATACCTTATAGCAGGACGACTGCTATTTGATCATTTTTTTGGAAAAATAAGTAATAATTATAAACATATGTTTAATGCAAAATTACACAAATAACTTAAAAAAACCCTAAAATATTTACAAATCAAAGCACAAGACTTAATTTTAAAAAAATAAATAAATAAAAACTCAAAAACCAACAATTCTTAATCAAAACATCAAATCCCAAAATTCAAACTTAAGTACTAAATGTTAAAATCCAAACTATCATAGAAATCAAATATCATCATAATTGAAGCATTAAAAGCAAAAAATATATATCAGCAAACAAGTCTTCTTCAACTTATTCCTCTTCATCCTCCAACCTATTATCTTGTTCAAACTCTTAATTTTCTTCAATGTGATTAAAATAAAAACAGAGAAGGCAAAGGATAAAGGATAGGGTTGAGTCTCAACTAAAATTTGATTGAAAAACCAAAAGTTACCCTTAAAATGTTTTAAATTGAATGGGTAATTTCAATTTTTCAAAGGGGAAAGGGATAGCGGGACAGAAACCACTCCTCCCCAGCTAGCCACTATTTACCCTATATAGGCTGCTATAGTGTTCTACACCGCTAAGACTCTTCCCATAGTGGCAGGCATCCGCTCTGCTATAGCAGGATATTGTATGAAAAGTCAATTGCATACTTTGCCTTCAACGAATCACTTGCTCAATCATATCTAAAACTGCATTTAATCAGTTGTTTTAGGGTAAATTGTTTGAACTAAAAAACCATAAACATTTCCCACAATGTGGTCTTAAAAGGATATTGGAAATGCCAAAGGAGATACAAATTGCGTTCTATTCCAGACTCTCAGATACTATATATGGATTCAATTCACTAACATCACAAATCCGTAGCAATATTCTACAAACCTAGAAACCCAATCCAACTAAACTCATAAACCTTATCGGTTACAAGCGAAACTGTTAACACTGGAGACTAGAAAGTACAAACTAGCACTACACTGAAGTAATAATGGAACTAAAACCTTCAGTAACAAGTCAGAAACTGAACAATAGGAATCATCATACCTCAATAACTTCATCGGGAGAGGATATACAAGCTGGTAAATTATCCCTACAAACCCTAATTTTGCACCCAGTGTCTTTTTTAATCTTCTCCACCACGTTCCCTCCCTTCCCAATAACAGAGCTCGCTTCCGCCGCATCAGCAACTAACCTGCAAGACACAATCCTATCCCCAAGCTCAACACCTTCCATCTCCGCCGCAACTTCCAGAATCCTATCAAACACTCTCAGCAATGCTTCTTGAGCATTCGAAACATCAATTGCCTCGCCGCCCAATATAACTTTGCCGTCCGGAACACCGGAGGCAATGACAGTGATGACTCGGTCCGGTGACTCATTCGGAGAATCCTCAATTCGGATCTTGGAGCTCGTTGACTGCTGGAGGGTTTTGATTACCGAGCCGGACTTACCAATGACGCCGCCGATGCGGGAGGAGTTGCATAGAAGACGGAATGTCACTTGTCCGGGAGAAACAGATAGTGGTTGTTGACGTTTGGATGGCTTTGGGCGCTTGGAAGATCCGTTCGGAATCGGGTCGGGTAACCCGGAAATTGGGCGCTTCAATGGAGGTGGAAAGAAGTTACTTCCCATGTTCTCTCTGTAACGAAATGAGAGTTGCAGAAGCTGGAAAATGAGGAGAGTACAATGCGCTAAAGGAATGAGGCGGGTGCGTACTGCGCCTAGGTTTTCAGAACCCGCGCATTCTTGGATTCTTGGACTATTACAGCATTGTTACTACAGTGTTACTACTTAATTCCTTAATGTAACTTAAATGTAATATAGTAATTGTTTTTTTTATTATTATTATTATTAGGGTCTTGCTAAATTTAAACATTTCATATTAAGAAATTTTTAAAAAGTACCCTTAGGACACTGGTTAGCATTTCCATTATTATTATTATTATTATTATTATTAAATAAAAAGAAGTTAAATACATTTTTTAGTCTTGCATTCACCGTCACGAGACCGATACCTTCACAATTCACAACTAAAACATCTATCAGAAGAAGCAGAACTGTCTTACCCACTTGTCTCTTTTCCACTTAAAGTCTTCCATTTCCCTTTATTAGCGAAAGCCTCATATGATTTTTCACGATTTTAATTTTCACTTTTCTTCTCACTAATATTGTTATAGCAGGCCGATCTAGCACGACTATTTTCATCATAGATCTTACAATTATTAACCAGTACATAAAATTGAAGAATCTCTTGGTACCTAATGAATTGCTTGATCTCTCGACGCAAACCACTCTCAAACTCGATACATTTAGAACACTCATCTCTCACCCCATTGTAATGCGGGAAGAACCTAGACAACTACTCAAACATCGCAGCATAATCAACAATTATCGTGTTTCCTTGCTTCAGCTCAAGGAACTCGATCTCTTTCTTGCTACGAACATCAGTAAGAAAGTACTTCTTAAGGAACTCAGTGTCGCTACTCGAAAAATGCATCGTGCAACGACGGGGAGGCGAAAAAAGATAGACAGAAGAGTCGCCACCGAACTTTATTTATCCCATGAGGGGAAAGGAAAATATCGAGAAAACCTTAAGAAAGAAATGGATAAGATGGTCTCGCGACCAAGAACGGGTTCGGAAGCCGGTTATGCGAGGGGAAGGTATTAGCACCCCTCGCATCCATCGTACTCGATGGGAACCTTTTGTTTGTCGACATGTGAATTATATTTGCTAAAATATTATGCTATAAGAAATGTGTTCCAATGGGTAAAGATAAGGGTTTAGAAACAAGAAAGTTAGGAGGAAAGAGAGAACGGGGGAAAAGAGAAAGAACAGACTCGGTAGGACTTCGCAGTCCTATGCCTACGTATTCTCAACAGATGTGAGAAAATCAGAGTCGACGTAGTTCGGGGAACTACAGATATGGGGGGAAAGTGCTCGCCAAGGATTGTGGCCCTTGTGCCTACGTATTCTCATCTGGTATGAGAAATCAGAGCAGCCGTAGTTCGGCCTACGGTGTGTTGATGTTTTTTATGGATGATGCTATCGTGCGCATTCTAGCAGTTAGGTGTTTTGCTGCTAGCTCGTTTGGAGACTTAGGCATTACCTGTTTGCGGTAGAACGGACGTAACATATCCTTTTGAAAGATTGATTAGTTTTCGCCACGCGGGGCAAGAAGTCACGTTTGATTGATTGGATTGTTTTTTAGGGGGGGCGAGACAGGTCCTCGGATAGTAACCCCTACAGGTAGTACCTGATTCGTTGTCTCAAAGTTTTGTTATAAAAGGGTGTGGTGAACGAGGCGTCTTCGTATTGAAAGACGAGCGTCGAAACCACCCTCACTACAGTGGGCATCCCTATGCTCGGAGAAGAAGAGGTCTACACCCAATCCTCTCTCTTTAATTCAATGCAAAGAGAACTTCGTTCTCTTATTAAAGATGTTTTTGGTTTTGAATGGTAAATGCTTTGCGACAGAGAACCCTACGGTAAACGTCAGCACTCGGGATGGGAGAAGGCTTACGCCTAACCGTTCCACGACCATTCAAGTTTTATGTTGAGAAAAGAGTTTGAAAGCGCACTCGGTGCAGGACCGAGATTTTAGGTGACAAGGGTTACGGGAGGAAGTTGTGAAAGGAGATGGTGGATAAAGAGATATGTGATGGATAAGGTTACGTCTTCGTATCGAAATACGAGTGTCGAGACCACCCTCACTACAGTGGGCATCCCAACACTCGGAGAGGAAGAAAGTCTACACTTAATCCCCTCTTTTAATTCGGTACAAAGAGGAATCAAACTATTATGGTTTGAAAAAGGACTCGGTACGAGACCGAGGTTTTTATGAGGAAATGTTGGAAGCGTCTTTGTATTGACAGACGAACGTCGAGATCACCCTCACTACAGTGGGCATCCCTATGCTCGAAGAAGAAGAGGTCTACACCCAATCCTCTCTTTAGCTCAACACAAAGAATCGATTTTAAGGAGATGAGATTTGAAGATGGACGGGAAGCGTCTTCGTATTGAAAGACGAGTGTCGGAACCACCCTCACTACAGTGGGCATCCCAACACTCGGAGAGGAAGAAAGTCTACACTTAATCCCCTCTTCTAAATTCAATACAAAGATAATTTGATTTTGAAAATTGTTTGACAAAGTTTTGAATCGAGTCGGGACAAGTAACGAAGAGGGAAAAGAGGTGGTCTCAGATCCAACATTACTCTTCAATAATTTGACTGGTAATGAATTACGGAGGTCTCGTCATCGACCCAAACAGGAACGAATAAAAAAATAAAAATCAAAAGTATACCCCAAATTATTTATTAAAGAAATCTTATACGATTAGTTGAAGATATTAACAAAAGCAGGATATACACAAAATAGAAGTCGTCAAAATTGTTTTAAGAAAATTATTTGTAAAACATTATATTAAAAGCTTTTTGAAAGAAAATCAAGAGAAAGGATAGGGGGTATGTGGAAGAGCAAATATGGGCTCATGAGCAGCATATGGCTCAGCCCATCATCAAATTCAAAATATCTTTTTTTCTAAAAAAATGGAAGAAAAAGAAAACAGAAACACTCCTAAAAACTCCAACGATGCCAAGTTTCAAATCCACAACCACCTTCATCAATCAATAATCCGAAAAAAGAAGTAAAACTCACTCAGCAATCATCGATGTCTTCAAAAATGGGTCGAAACCCCATCAACTCCAACCAGAAAAACCTAATGTTACTTTGTCCGCGGATTATCTCACCTTTCTTTCTCGCTCCAACTACTTGACTCCTCCTGATTCGTTTTTTCCAAGCCTCATTGTCGATCTGGGTTCGCGCGACCGCCTCAAGTTCAAGCTCGAACTCGATTCACTCTTGTTTTGTGATAAGGTCTATCTGATTTTTTTTGTTTGTGAAACGTGTTATCCTGGTTTAGTTTGAGTTTTAGGGTTTTTTGAAGGCTGAAGAGGGTTTATGGGTTACGTATTGAAGGAGATCGATGAGGGTCGTTTGAGGAAGGAGTTTGATTCTGCAGTTTGGGATTATTGGTGAAGAACCTGTTGAGTTTCGAAAATTAATGGGCGATTGGGGGGTTTAGGCTTTGCGTGGTTTTGTCGGAGCGTTTGAAGTTCACGGCTGGATTAGATGATTCTGAACGTGGGGGTTTCGAAAGAAGGTTCGATTTAAGTGTGAAAAAAAAAATGGAGTTTATGGGTTGATGGCGTTTGAGAAAAACGGTTGGTGGTTGTTATTCTGGGTGAGTTTGAAGAAGATGATTGAAGTTGATAGAAGGTCGGCTGAAGGGGGTTTTTGGTTATGTTGTTGTTTTAGTGGTGAAAGGAATTGTGGGTTTGTTTGTTGTCGCAGCTTCGAGACGGCTGTCATGGTGACCGTGGTGGCGTGATCGTTGAAGGTCGATTCACGGCGGGCAGATATTGGTAAGCTTGCTGCGAGTCTGTTTATTGAACAGGGATCACCTGAGAAATGAGAGGTTCAGACATAGTTCAATGGCAGAGGGTTGAAGACATTTTCTGCCATGAGCTGGTTTTCGGTGTGGATGAAGATGAACGAGTTTGATTGGAGTGGTTCGAAGATTTTTTTTTTTGGAAATAGGTTTCCAGATTGGGATGGATTGATAAGGTTTGATGTTGGTGCTCACGATGAAGGTTTGAGAAGGATGATAACAGTGAAGAACATGGTTTGTTGGGATTAATCAATGAAGAAGAAGGTTGTTTCCATGGTGTTGGATGGTTGTTCTGAAGTGGTTTAATTTGTTTGAAGAAGGATGTTTGATTGACAGAGTGGAGAAGATGATGTGGTTTACAAAGAAGAGGGTTGTTTTGTGAGTTCGTTTGGAAATTCTGGTTCAAAGGTAGAGTGATTCAAGTTGATGAAGGAGAATGAAGCAGATGATGAGAGGGTGGCTAGGGTTGAGAGAGCTCTCTCAGATTAGGTTGTGATTTTCGATTTTAAGGAGGTTTTTGAAGTAAATTCCAAATCCCTTTCTCTTTCTCTTTAATTTTCTTGCCTTTTTGATGTATCCTGGCTGTTGTTGTTGCAGGTGTGTACAGGCTAGCAGGTTTTGTCCTGTTGTGGATGTGGTTCAGCAGGGTAATGGTTGTAGCTGGCATTGTCTGTTGGTAGCAGAATGGCGCAGGATTTGGTCTGGTGTGGGATGGGTGCAGCAGGCTGGTTTTTTGTTAGTGAGTTTGTAGCAATATTTGATGCAGATTTCCAACCAGATTCAGATTTTCTTTGGAAGACAATTCCTTACCTTCTTGAGAACCATAAGTTGGGTTTGGTTCAGGCAAGATGGAAATTTGGTAAGTTAAGTTGTTGCAGCCACATCAGTGTGACAACATGCCTTACTAATGAGTCCAATAACACTGCTTTCATGTCTACACAGTTAACTCATAGGAATGTATGATGACACGACTTCAAGAAATGTCACTCGATTATCATTTTAGTGTCGAACAGGAAGTAGGCTCCTCAACATACTCATTCTTTGGATTTAATGGTAAGTCAAGATGCCCGTGGAATTACATTCGAACAAGCACATTTTCATATCAACTTATATGAGCTTGCTTTAAAACATGCAGGGACAGCAGGAATTTGGCGGATTCAAGCAATAAAAGATGCTGGAGGAT